TGCACGTCGGCGTGTCCAAAAAAATCGATCTTCCGTTGGACTGCCACGTACCCCACGTTCGTTCCCTTCAACATCCAGGACGCCGTCGATGCACACCGTTTTTCCTTCTGTAGGACATCTGGCTTTTTCTTCCACGTGGCGCCTCGACGTCCAAGATTCGTTTGCACTTGAAATTGCCCTAATCAAGCAATTTTTCATGATTTTAGGCGCCCAGAAGGCTTCTTGCTGTCGCCAGAAATGAAAAAGTAAATGTCGCAGGCACCATGGTCGGTGACTAACGTGGCGTTCCCGTTGGACTTGTGCGGCCGGGGACATCCCACGCTCATACAAGTAGCCAAGTCTTTGACCACAAACAAACAGCGCGCCAATGCAAATTTCGCAGAATTTAGCGCGAGTGACACACAACCCGCTGTTTAAAACATCAATTGATTCTTATCTAGGTATTTGTAAGCAAATGTGAATCAAACATGCCTGAATCGATGCACGGCGCTGATTTCAACCATCGAGTTGTCGCCCACGGAGCGGCCACGGTACGCCAGTTCATTGCGGCCAACACGTGTTGTTTAGGAGAAACACGAGCCGCATCAAGAAGAACGAAGTGCAGACATCCTCTCGGAGCTCCCATTTTTCGATTTTCTTTTGAATTGCCACCAAGCTCCAAGAATGGCCGTGACGTGCGTCTTTAACGGTTGCTTCGCGCCCACCATGTCGTACTCGGACAAGTGCTCGTTCCACCGGTACCGCTCCAAGTGTAAAATTGACGGCTGCTTCAACCAAGTCTACGCCCGCCTCCTCTGCGTCGGCCACGGCGGCAAGAAGCACTGTGCGTTCGACAACTGCACAACCACCGTCCGCACGGGCGATTTTTGCGCCAAACACTCGCGCAAAGCCAAGCCTTTGTGCTCCGAGCCGGGCTGCGAGCGCGTCGCGCACCAATTTGACAAGTGCACGCACCACGGCGGCGGCAAGCCGTGCTCGATTGCCGGGTGCGCCCTCCCGGCGCGCATTAGCGGCGTGTGCTGGCCCCACCGCAACCGCGTGCTGCCCGCGCCAGCGACGCCTGCGTTTGCGAGCGAGACGGACGGCGACGCGCTCATCCTGATGCTGGACGAGTGGATGCAAGACGAGCCGCTCATGGCGCTCGACGACGACGATGTTGATTTTCACGGCATTTTGGACGACATTCTTCTCTCCATGTAAAACCCTTTGACCAAGCTCTTTCGAGACACCTTTCAGATATATAAATAAGTTAAACCCATAAAATATAGTTTCTAGTAACGAAACGCACGTGATTGGGTGGTTGTGTAGGGCATTGCAGATTCCCTTGGTTTTCAGCTCGTATTCTTGCACCAAATAAAAACGCAGTCGCAGTCGCTCGCGTCTCTCGATGCCCTCAAAAAGCAGCATAGCTTTGCCGCCGACGGCGAAGCCTGGAAGGCCTCTGCGAGGCGTGTCATCATACTCACTCCCGGCCACAAGTGCCGCTGGGCGACTATAGCAGAGCAAGACGAGCCCCCGCGCCGTCACCTGCGCAGCCACGGCCCGGCGAGCGAATGAAGAAGAAGGAGATTGCTAGGCTCTACGTCTGCGGAGTCTTTGTAACAACGAAGATAACGCGAAACACGCTCATATGTCGATATAAATATAAAATGAAAACCACCATTACGTCAAATATGGGGTTAGGGTTTTCATTGAAACAAACATAAACGAGCAATGTGACTTGATTCGCCCCTTGCTCTGGCTGTGGGTGGGTGGCGAGATGAGAATCTTCGGTGCACAGTCGTCGTCGATAGAATCAAGAGAACCGTCGTATCATGAGGGCCACCCCACATCTCGCAATTGACGTGGACCAATGAATCGTACCCACGCGATCTTCGACGCCGCTTGATGATACACACCGCGTGGGTCGTGATGCATGATATTGACGAGGTTTGGATCGCTACTTTTGCGTCTAAACTCTGTTTGGGGATAATGCTATCTCCTCGAATGTGCTGACATTTATGTAATTGGGTTCGCTTAGGAGAGCGTGCTTTTGTGCCCGTTGAAGCGTTGACGGCAAGACGATCACTCGCACACGGTTTTCGCAAAGCGAGCCGGCAGGGGCGTGAATGATTGCTTCCACAGAAATAGTGTACGTTGTCGCCACGCCAGCGATACTCGATTGGCACAAACACGGAGGGACGCCGTCAAAGACCAGTCAAAAACACCCGCGCTTTACAAACGAGCGGCAGTGTGTGGGACAGGTACACCCGCTTTGTCCATAAATAGTGTGAGCTCGTAGCAAATCGCTCCAAGGATACTGCCTGTGCACGAGTGCCCTTTTCTTTCTACACTCTTCACGTTAAGCCTCTTGTCATCCTACGCTTGCCGTATGATCGGACAAGTCCATAGGATAAGCCAGTCGAAATAGCCCATCGTGTCTGGCTGAATGAAACAACTTGATTCGGCGACGTTGAAGTGCAGCTACACCATTTGATGAGAATGGGAATGGTGTGAGAATGTGTTAAACAGTCTACAGTCGCAAGTGTTTTATACACACCAAAACCAACCTTTCTTTTGTATGCCTTCGAAGCGAAAAGCTTTCCAACAGTGTTTTATACTTGGACGCGACATGGCAACAAGAAACAAATCCAGCCGACGCCACAAGATCGCTCGCGCGTGACGATGCCATTTTCGAATTTCCTCGCTCCATCATGAGCTGCCTCTTCAACGGGTGCTCCAAGCCAGTCGTGCCGTCCCTTGACAAGTGCGCCTTCCACCGCTACCGCTCCAAGTGCAAAGTCGACGGCTGCTTCAACCAGGTCTACGCCCGCCTCCTCTGCGTGAGCCACGGCGGCAAAAAGACGTGTCAGTCGCCGGGCTGTGCCTCGCCCGTGCGTATTGGCGACTTCTGCACCAAGCACACGGCGCGGTCCAGCAGCGCGTGCTCAGTGGACGGGTGCACTCAAGACACCGCCGCCGCCAACCAAACCAAATGTCCGCTCCACGGCGGCAGCAGCAACTGCGCCGTCGACGACTGCGTGAAGCCCGCACGCATGGGCAAATTCTGCTGGCACCACCGTAACCGCGTGCTCTCCAAGCCCATGCCACAAGAGGCCTTGGCTTGCAACGACGGCGACGCGTTGATTCTCATGCTCGACGAATGGATGATGGACGAGACGACGCTTGTCTCCTCGCTCTCGGACGACTTTATCGACTTTGATGGGATACTCGACGACATTGTTCTGTTCTAAATCACCTTAAATATGTTATTTATCCTTGTACACATTGTCCAACGTGGACCACAGCGACGAAGGATGCCAGAGCTGGAGACTCCGAGCCGGTGGGGGCGCCGGTAAAAAATCAAGTCGAAACCGGATTTCAGTCGTGTCCAGTTTTTAAAATCGGATTTTTAGTCCTAATTCGGCACGTTACAACCGGCTCATTTCGGCGCCATGTATAAAACATGTATCAAACACCCCACCCTGCAGTTGCCATGCCAGTGTGGGTGGTAGATTTGGCTCGTATAGCCATTCAGCGAAGAAACGCAGCAATGTGTGTACGTCCATGGACCACACTGCACTTGGATCCTGGTCCTTGACCTAGCGCAAGCCGTCGTCGTACGCGCGTCCATCTCACCAATGCAGCACGTACGTATCTTTACCAAAAACACACTGTTTTAAACAGGCTGTCTCAACCAACCCTAAATTCCGCTCAGTTTGCAATTTCCATCGAGACGAACAGAGCAGCAGTATGGTCGGGCCCTGCGTCTTCAAGGGCTGCGCTCAGCCCGCGGCCGTCGGTAGCAAGTGCGCCTTCCACCGGTACCGCGCCCAGTGCCGGATCGAAGGCTGCTGCAACCAAGTCTACGCCCGGCGTCTCTGCGTGGGCCATGGCGGCAAAGAGACGTGCGAGGTCGACGGCTGCGGGTCGCCCGCCCGCGCTGGCAAGCGCTGTAGCAAGCACTGCACAAAGGTACTCGGCCTCTGCGGCCATGACGGCTGCACGAACGCGGTGCGCGGCGCGAAGACCAAGTGCTTCGCCCACGCTGGCGCCACGCTCTGCGGCGTGGCCGGCTGCGGTGCGGCGGCGCGAGACCGTGGCGTGTGCTGGCCGCACCGCAATCGCGTCGTGGCTGCATCGCCGACACCCTCGATCTCTCTCTTCTCTGACTTTGAATTGACCCCACGATCCTCCTCGACCCTCCAGAAGGAGCACGGCGACAATGAGGCGATGCTGCCGACCGAGCTCATGATGGCTCTCGAGGACTCGATGGAGGATCCATGGGCTAGCCGCATGGACGAGGACATCTTGGCGATGGACTCGTTCATGGACTTTGGCGGATTCATCTCGTTGGACTTGATGGACGTTAGCTTGGCGCCACTTGACAGCTGCACCACCCAAGGTACGACCGCCATCGCGTTCGAGTGAGATTCCTCGAGGCCCGATCATCCATAAGTCCTCTCGTGAAGCCTCGTCCTCTCTCTTCCAGTAGCGCCCTCTCTGCATGCTCCACGCCGTATTTATAACACAAACACCAGCCACGTCGCCCGCGCTGTAACACATTTTCTAGTCTCTTTGGCAACCTCGTAATATACTTCTTTGAATTTTCCCTCACTGTGTACAATAACGTCTTCAATATATACATAAAGCTCCAGCAACAGCACAAGCTCGTCATCATGCAAGAGGAGACGACGCGACGCCACGCGGGTGGGTGTGAATGATGGTTCAATCGCGGACGGTGCATCGATCATCACTCTCGAAACCATTGGCGGGAACCGCGCGGCGACCTTATATATCAGAATCCATCGCTACGCCTTTCCTTGCCTTTTACCCTAGTGTTGGTCTTGACCAACGCAAAAGCAAATGCAAATGTACAGAAAGGGCTCCAGGTGTGTAGAAGCCACCGTCCGCACTCCGAGCTCGCACTCCGTAGTGAAAGGTGTATTGTAGAGTGAGTGGAGTGCTGGTGGCTTCGGTGTTCACACGTATCTCTACATGTAACATGCAATACCAACACCTAGACACTAGCTATAAGCTAGTACACATGACTATCGTACTAGATGGCCATCCCTTCTTTCGCAGCTCGACTGCGCAACGCGTGCACCAAGACATCAAGATCTTATAGTCGCCAAAGCGGAAACGCCCGGGACCGTTTGGCGCCAAAACGCTTTTGTGGATTTTGATCAAGGGACTATTCCCTTACGTAATACTGAAAAAGCGTCCAACAGCGATAAATTACTTGTGCGTCGTCTGTCATGAATTGCGAGGACTCGGCGCGGGGTAGTACGGCGTCGGGCCGCTCGCGTCTTCGTGCTGCGTATCTTCGTTCATCCACGCATCCACGATCGAAAGCAGCGGGTCGTCCGTTGGCGCCGATGTCTTGTGGCGGTGACGCCAGCAGTAGCCGCTCACGCGCGCGCGGGTCCGGCACTGCGGGGCCAAACACTGTTTGCCGCCGCCGTGGGCAATGCAGCGGTTGCGTCCGTACGCCTTCTTGGCGCAGCCTTCGATCGAGCAGAGCGGCTTGTGTTTGGCGCCGCCGTGCTTGGCGCAAAGGTCGCCGGCGCGGGCGTTCGTGACACAGTCGGGGTACTGGCACGTGCGCTTGCCACCGTGCCGGATGCAGAGGTGCCGCGCGTACACCTGGTTGGTGCACTCGGGCACGCTGCACTTAGTCCTGTTGCGGTGGAAATGACACTTGTCCGAGCCGTCGAGCGCGGGCTGGCCGCAGTCGTTAAAGACGCAGATCGCCATGGGGCAAAAGCAAAGTGCCGTCGTCGGGTGGTATGTCGTAATCGCGTATTAGAGGCCACGCGACACACGATGATAACCGAGGTGCAATATCAGGATGGCGGGGCAATATCATATTACTTGTGCACGCCTCAACTCAGATGAGCCAGTCGGCACCTCGCCTCGCATTGGTCACGCACCAGCTGGCCAATGCCGGGGCGTGAAAACCACCCATTTCCAAGCTGCTCTTTAGTCGGCTTCGCAGCATGATGAGTACCCCGTCGAGTCGAGAATCAAACTGACGTCGTTTGTGCTTGTTATTGACAAGAGCACACCAGTGCCTTCTTTGGTCGACACGGCGGGACGCCCGCAAACTGCACGGCTATTCCGACCTCGATGTTGGTCTGCAGCTGCTCGTAATCACGTCATCCCTGGTTGTTCAATGGTGATGGGCGATCATGCACTGGTACGACCGAGATGACAGACCGTTGCGACACCAAACGCTACCGGGAGCGTTGCATTGATGAACTCAGTCCTAGTTGATTCGCGGGTCAAGTGGGCAGCTTCGTTTCCATCCAAACACAGTGGAGAGATTCGACCCGTGTACTACGCTGCAACAGCCGTACTTGTGATTCGTTGACGTTAGTTGTTGGGTTTGCAATAATTGTTCTTGGGCGGATCAACCGAGCTGTGGCGGACCGAAGTCGAATGCGACCGACGCAGGGCTCGTCCACCTTCCTTTGGCTTCTGGGCCAAAGGCAGCGCGATGGGTATATCCTCGGTCACATTGGTATGCGCAACTGCGACCGACATCTATGTATAGTGTCCCACGCGATTACTCCAAGTCCGTTGGAGCATCTAGTGCCTCGTACCGTAGTACTGTTGAGCGGCGGGTGCCGAGCCGCTGCTTGAGCCAGCTCGATCGTCTTTTGCACGTTGAGCTCGTGCTGCGTCTCGACATCCTGTGCAAGCACGTCGAGTTTTCGTTCCTAAACGACATCGGTTTGTATCAATCTTTCAACCAAAACACGTTGGTCGAAACCCGATTCCGCAGCCATTTTTCCTTCTCGACCCGCACATTGTCTCTCGTTTCCAGCTCGAGCGCGCGTGCGTCCAGCTCGGTCGCTCTCGCTGCGACCTCCGCCTCTCGCTCGGCGACCGCAGTCGCTACAATGGTGTGTGTATCTTCACGCTTGTGTGCGGAAGCGCACCACGTGCTGCGAGCTCCGCATCGCGCGTCTTGTGCTCGTTGGTCATCGTCGATGTTGCCTCTTTGATGGCCCGGAGCACGGCTTCTTGATCTCGCAGTCGCCCTTGTTCGAGTGCCAACTACAAAGTCCGTGGTGTACACGACTGGCAGGATGGTTTTGTACTTTGGACATATTGTCTTGGTACTGACGCAATTCTTTCTCGCGCGCCTAACGATATCGTTTCAAGAGCGTTGATGGACAAGCCATGTACCTCGGCGAGCCGGACGGTCGTCGCTTGCGTCTCGAGCTGCCACGTCGTGACGGCATCCGCATGCTGGGCTTGGAGGCGACGGCGGCTGTCTTCCCACTCCTGTTGACGCGTCTCAAAGAGCGTTTCCATCGTGGCCAGCTACGTGGTCTTCCGCTTTCCGTGCCTACAAAGTGGTATGGTAATACCTGCTTCTCTTGCAGCACGAGCCGTTCCCCCCATAGCGCTAGCTCCTACAAGGAGCTAAAGCGAATGAAAATGACACAAGTTGACACCTGCGCGCGGTGTTGAAGGGCGAGCTCTCGGCTGTCACTTTCATCACAAGATCCTGGCGGCGGCTAAGACACCTCCTTGTCAGTTCATGCGATATGTTGTGATAGCGCATAGGGCAACCCACCTGGGCTGGGGGCTGTGCGACTTGGGCTTCCTTGGCTTGAAGCGCAGCTTGGCACTGCGCCAAGAAGACCTCTCGGTCCCGCAACGCCTTCTCAAGCGCATCGAGCTTGGCTTCCCTTTGCTACACCTTGACTACGCTCGGAACGCTCAACACTGTGTGTACCGCTACTTCGTGATTGCGCTTCTCGACGACTTCCTAATCCAAGTGGTAAGACATTGACCAGTATGCAGCCCCATACATAGAGTTTGTTGAGCTTGACTTGCTGGCTCAGAACATTCGACTGCTGATTGCGCGTCTGTGTGGAATGTTGATTGGGGTTCGTGCATGAATAGATGACCTCTTCTTGATCGCGAAGCAGCGCTCGCTCACGAGCCGCGAGCTGGTCCGCTTGGGCTTTGAAGTAGAGGTCCGCTTTGGCTGTCTCGAGGTGCTTAGACGTCCGCTGCTCGTGCTTGAGCGCCTATGCCAACCATCGAATGCATTCACTCCATTTGTGCTCTACCAATTCCTTGTCCGAGCACTGAAGCTGGCTCAAGTCCTGCTGCTCGTTCTGACCACGCATAAGATATCGCTCACTGAGCAGGTTGATGCCTCACATTCCACTCGGGGCGGCTCGAGGTGGCGTAGAGCTTGGCCTTGGCGAGCTCTCGCGCACCGCGAAGGCCTTGCGTCGACCTCATGGCACAAGTCGGACGACCGTTTCGAAGTCGAGACCGTCTACGTATTTCAAGCATGTCAAGAACACTAGTAGACGAGTTGTGTAATAACTTCGTTGTCTACTAGTTGATCAACTTGCGATTGTTCACGTTAAGGTTGGGCACGCTTCATATTAATATTCCTCGACGGGGCAAAGTAAGGAGCCGTGAGCGTCAGTTGTGAGCGTCAAGCAGTCGCGCCGTCTGTGCATGTCGATCTGACATGGACGCCATGAATTTGCTTATGCAAGATGATCGTAACACCGTTCTTGTCGCACATCCACGGCTCACAACACGATCGCCCGACACGTTGGGCCCAGAAGGGTCCAGCTGTCATTTCCCCATCGTCTCTAAACGTTGCTGGCGCAGTTGCTGTCGAGTGCTTTTTGCTTGCAGTAGTTCTAGCTCTACAAGTCCACCTCGTGGCATCTTCCCTCGCAGCGAATCGGTCAGAACGCCACCCCTGTCCATGCGCCGATGGATTCGAATCCTGGCCAACACGTACACTGTATCGTAGCGTCCATCGTCAATCTGCATGTTTTTGTACGTGTTTAAAGCATAAAATCTTTCTCATAATAAAAGCTCATGTAATATACGCATTTAAGAGGCTGACGTATGCTAGAGACACGTTTGAAACACAGTTTCGGCGCGGGATGCGGTTGGGTTCACTGTCCTTTGGACCACGACATGACAACAACGATGCGTCTTGTCATTGTTATGGTGCTCGCCGCCGTCACAGCGTCCGTCGTAGCATTCCAAGTCCCGTCGTCGGGCTGGTCATCTTGCCCGCCGAATACGATCCCATTTGATGACGCCGACGCCGACACCGACGACGACGCCGACGTGGCGCGTCGACAGCGCGGTGCCGCCTTGGCCGCCGAATGCCAAGTGTTTTCCATGCCGCTCTGTCATCCCGGTGCGCTCTTGCGCAGGGTTCTATACTCACGATCGTAGGCATTTGCGATGGTACGGAGACGCTGCCGATCTTTGTCAAGCGCATTGCGTCGCCCGTTGCTACAAGTGCAATCTGGGTCATGGACGGCGGGCCAGGCTGTTCGTCTGTCGACAGTACGCTCTTCTGGTGTGACGCGCTAGAGTCTAAATCTACTGAATTGCTCAGTGGAGATCCTTATGCAAGACCTCTTTATGGACCTCAACGGTACGTTCAGCGTCTACACCATGGACCACCGCGGGTCGGGCCGCAGCGCCAAGCTCACATGCGACGGTGTACGTCGTCGTTGTCACGTTCGCAACCTGTCACCAACCGCAAATTAGGACCTCAAATACGCACAAGACCTCGCTGCGTGCGTTGACCGACTTCACGCCCAGTACGGCCCGACCGCCGACGCGTTCTCGACGACGAGCGCCGCCAAGGTGCGGTGTATTTTTTATGCTAGAGGATGACAAGGAGGCGTAGGACTTGACGTACTTGAGCCCAATCATTGATCCCGACGTCGACTGGTACGTCTACGGCGTGAGCTACGGCTCGTACTTGATGGCGCGCGTGTTGCACCTCGCGCACGAGTTCACGTTCCGCGGGTATTTACTCGACAGCATCGTGCCCGAGACGCTCGACGTGCCCAACGGCGACGCAGCGTACGGGGCCGTCGGTACGTCTCACGAGTGGTCATCAACTAAATACGTAACCCCACTCTAGTCGCACGGTATCTTCGCGCGTTGGACAAGGGCGTCACTGGTTCCGACACGCCGCTGGAGGACACACTGCGCATGTACTACAGCGAACTCGACGATGGCGCGACACCCGAGTGCGCGTCATGGCTGCAAGATGTGGCGGGACGTGCGCCAGTCGACCCGCCGTCGTTTGCCGCCCGTCGGCTCTTTGCGGCACTTGTAGAAGCCAGCACATTGCGCACGTCGTTTTACCCGCTCTTGACGCTGCTCCAAGGGTGCAACACACGCTGAGTTCTTGCTGTTTTTACATAGAGCGTAGGTGCTCGGACGCAGATATTGAAGTCCTCGAAACGTACGTGGGTCCGTACTTGCTTGACAACGACCTCCTCGAGCCGAACTTTACGTCTGACTACGACTCGCTCGTGCTCTACTACGTCATCTTGGCGTCTGAGCACCAGCTTTTCTACTCACCCGCGCCGCCCTTGGCCACGCTCGCTCAATATTTCACCGACCAAGTCGTTGACAACCCAGTATACCGTGATTTCATGGCCTACTGCCTCTTTACCAACCACCGAGGTACGACCCTAGCCCTACCCTAGCCCTCATTTTCACCAGGAGAGCAACGTAGACCAAGCGTGCCGTGAGCAAGCCTATCCAGCGACCAAAGGCTTTTCCTACGCTCCCGACGCGTACTTTAACCGAACCGCGCCCGTACCGACGAGCCTCCTCGTGCTCAACGGCGGTCTCGACCCGATCACACCGGACGACCAAGCCCAATTTCAGTTTGAGCAGTACACGACGCCCCACAAGCTCTTTGTCAACGTCTCGGATGCGTCGCACGCGGTCATCGACAGTCCATGTGGCTACGACATTATCCTCTCGTACTTGACCAACAACGGAAATGTGTCGTCGGTCAACACGACGTGCCTCGCGCATTTGCCGCCACTGGCGCTTGAGCTCGCGCCAAGGCTGCGCCAAGAGATGTTTGGTCATCAGCTGCTTGATGCGAACGGCGACATCTCGCTGAGCTCGGGGCTTGGGTTGGCGAGCATTGCGCCCTCTTCGGTGCCAAGCACACGCCTCCTTCTGCTCGCTGCCTCGAGTTGTTGGCTCCTAATAACCTACTAAGTTGTTGACTTGTAACCTACTAGATACCCTTTATGATGAAGCCTATCCTTCTATTCAAAATGCGATCCACTCGGTGCTTTTGTCTAGGGCAACGGCAAGCAGTCGCCGCCGTCGTAGTTGCAGCCAAGGACGTTGCACCGACTGTCGCAGTAGTTGTCGCCGACGCGGGGCGCCGCGCAGCTCGGGGCGCAGTCGCGGTAGCAGACACTCGAGCGCGTCGCATTGCAGTACGTTGTGGACGCCACGTGGATGAGGTGGAGCTGCACGGCGTTGAGAAGACTTAGGGGCACCGTGCTGATCGGATTACTGTTGAGCACCAGCTGGAGCGACGGGTAGGCGGCCACGAGCGCGGCGGGGATCTCGACCAACTGATTGTGGTCCGCAAAGACCAACTGAATATGCGGCAGCTTCGTAAGCTCTGGCGGCAGCTCGGTGAGCGCATTGTGTCCCACGTCCAAGTACTCGAGCGCCTGCAGCTTTTGAATTTGCCCCGAGAGGCTCGTTTGACTTGTGTTTGTGAGCGCAATGTCGCGAAGCGCGTGCCAGCTCGCATACACTGTCGATGGGAGGTCGCCCAGCGCCGGCGAGTCGGTCACATACAGTGTCTGGAGCGATAACGGCGGGGATAGAAGTGCCGGTGGCAGGCCACGGAGGTTCGTGCCGTGCAAAAAGACGCTGGCAATCGTCGACGGCAGCTGTGGAATGTCCCAGCGCCGCAGCTCGGACGCTTCGAAATGGAGACCGTAGAGACATGGAAACAAGGCCAGCGTGTCGGCGCGCAGGCCGTTTGGCAGCGGGCAGCGCTGGAGGTGGAGCCACAACAGCGTCGGGCTCGAGAGGATCTGAAAATAGGTGTCCCACGCGTCCATGGGGCCATCGACCGCGCAGTCCCATCGAAAATAAACACAGTGACAGCGCTCGTTCGCCCAGGACGGCGACGCGACGCGACAGCCCGGCGGGCACGCTAAGCGAAAGTAGCTTCGGTGCGTCGTTAGCACCAGCAGTGTGAGCGCGAGAAGGTTGTAGATAAAGTACAAGCCGACGCGCCAGCGTCGGTTGGCAGGTAGAATCACGGGCAGCGCTTTAGCGACAGACCCCGGACGTACTTTGTCGAGGAGTTCTTTGGTCGCGGGCAGCAGCCGCAGCACAGCGCGTCGCCCATCGCTCGTCTTGTCTTCCGAGATCGAGTTGAGCGTATGCGTGCGCTTGACGCGGCTCGGCACGACGCGGACCGCAGCGACCACCGTATGAAGCCGCACGTACGTGGCGACGAGAGCAATGAGCCGCGTGGCTATATCCAGCGGCTCCGACGAGAGGACGAAGCGCCACGTCGGAACGTGCGTGGCGGCCCAGTCAAAATCGCGGCTCTGGTGGCGAAAATGAGAGATGGTGGTCGCGGCTGGCACCACGAGCACCCAAAGCACATAGCCCACAGACACGTAAAACGACAGCAGCGCGTACGAGAGCGAGACGAGCGGGGTGCGAAGTGTCGGCCGCTTGGCACACACCATGGGGGGAACAAGGCTCTTGCTCGTCCACGCCATGTGCAGGGCCACGAGGTACGCGAAGCCGAGCGGGCAGCTTGGCTCGACGAGCGTCGCGGCCATATTCGACGCCGTGTACACGTGCGCCGCCATCTCGAGCGCGTGCAAGTACGGTGCATACGCTCTCCACGTCGCGGTGGAGGGTGAGAGTTTGTGGCGTCAAATGACCCACATCAGGTGGGTTGGCGCCCACGTCATGCAGGCGCTCAGATGCAGGAGGCCCACGAGAAGGTAGGCGACGCCCGAGGGGGGGCGCCCCCCCAGCACCTCGGTGGCACTGGCAAAGTGGGCACCGCCGAGCGCTATCGCGACAAGAAACGTCAAGCCGTGATGCCCAAGCACGAGGACGTAGATCGTCTTGCGAGTGAGTCGGTGTCGCTGCATGGCTGCGTGCAGCGCCGCATGCTCGCGCGCACTCGCTTGCATTCGGACCTTGACCCGCATCCGGCGCGGTGCATCGAGGGACATCCGCCGAATATACGGGCTAAAATTACACGCTCTAAAACCGATGGAGGCGCCAAGCCTCGAGTCCAAGGCCGCGCTCGAGCTCGACTCGTACCTCGCCGAGGCCGAGGTCGAGCCGTCGCTCACCAAGGACCAGCACATTGAGATTCTCAAGGAGCGCCTCGCGCGGCGGTGCGCACTCATCGATGTACAGGCTCTCGGAGGGTGTCGCTCCGTTTTGATGTATATCTAGACAATCCGACATGCTTACCACCGCGATGTGATTGTCGTCAAAGAGAACCTCTTGGCGCGCGAGCTGTATCCGGGCTCGGTCGACGAACGCGTGCATGCGCTGCCGTCCGTGGACCTCCGGGACACGCTTCCGCTCTTTGCACCGTCCCAGACGTACCTCCGCGTGCACCCGTGCGACGCGTGCGGCGGGACGCTCGAGCTTGTTCACGGCGAAGTACGTTGCTTGATCTTTCGTCCACTCGTCGACGCGTCGTTGTAGACGCAAGAGCTCAATGAAGCGCGGTCGCTCTGTGCCAAGGCGCAGAAAGGCGGGCAGAACATGAAAGGTATCGACTTGTTGTCGTACGAGGCCGAGACGTGCCATGTGGAGGCATTGTACACCGGCTGCGCGCCGAGCTCAAGGAAGCGACCGAGATCTCCGACGCGCTCCAGCAGCGCCTGCGTGCCCTCACAAAGGAGAATGCGTTCACACTCGAACAGCTCCAGATCTCGCGCAAGGCCGAGCGGGATCAAAAGACTTTGCTGGCCGAGCTGAAATCCAAGCTGCACGCCGCCACCGCCACGACCGAGAGTGTCTCAAAGCTCACGCAGCAGGTACCCATAGTTGGTGGATTGTACTTGTCAAATGACACTTGTGCTAGCTCAAGGAGCTCCACGCGGAGCACGCCGAAGTGACCAAACAGAACAAACTGCTCGTGCGCCACCGCGACGACATCCAAGACGAAGTACATATCTGTGGTGACATTGTGTGAACCCCTGGTTACGGTAGCTCGATGCGCTCATGCAGAGCCACGCGGCGCTCAAGGTCGACTGCGTGCGGTACCAAGCCGAGTGCGATGGCACCCAGCGCCAGCTCGACGACATGACGGAACTTAAAACGCATTTTGCGACCGAGTTTAACGCGTTGGCAACCAAACACAAGGAACAACTCCACGTGTCGGAGATTGTGCAAGAGTCGCTCGTCAAATGCAAACAAGACTTGGCGACGCTCGCGACCAAGTTTGAACAGACCAAGCGGCAGCTCGAAGACCAACTGGCGGGCGAAGAAATGGCGCGCGAAAACACGCACGAGCGGTACCTTGATGAGAAGAAGCGCTGCAAGCAGCTCACGGCCGAGGCGGAGCGGGCTCGGCGCGACATGACCGAGTACCAAGAGCTATACGCCCAAGTAGCGAGCCAAGCGGACGGCGTCGAGCGCGCCCATCAAACCCAGCTGCACGACGAAGCGACGCTGTGGAGCCAAGAAGTGGACTTTCTGGTCCGACCCCTACCCTACCCTACCCCTCCTTTACGACACCATGGGGTAGCGGCTTTTGCTCGACCAAGCCCTCATGCGCGAAAACGACTTGGCGTCCGAAGTTATGAAGCGCTTCTATGACGACGACGACGACGACGAACCTGATTTTTTCATTCCGTCCTACACCGGCGACGACGACGACTCGGACAGCGAGCTGCGACCGAACTTGCAACTGCCGAGCCGTCCCATGACGCCAATGACGGACGCGAGCATGCTCTCGGACTCGTCCCGACAGCACACGCCGTCGTCGACTGGTGTATGGTCTCAGAGATCTTGGTCTATATCTACATAATCAATGGGGTAGCGGCAAGAGACGATCGAGCGCCCTGGCAGTGTCGATTTGGACAGCAAAAAGAAGCGGCACGTCTTGAAAAAGACGGGCCAGAACGGCGAACTCGTTCAGCTCATGTCCGAGATGAAGGACATGCAGGACAAGTGCAAGCTCCTGCGCAACAAGGTCCACGAGTCGGACAAGCATTTGGCGCAGCAAAAGGCGCAGAACACCGAGCTCACGCTGACCAACCAAGCGCTCGAAGCCACGTACAATGGCATTTCTTCGGATATCGAGAGAGCCCATGCCTCTTAGCATCAAGGACTACGTGGCCGAAGACAGTGAGCGCAACCAAAGTGAAACCGAGCTCTTTCGAACGCTCAAGAGCTCGCGCGAAAATGTACAATAGACAATATGTCTCGCGAGACTACCGCGCCAATGTAGATCGACGCGCTCAAGGCCGAAGTTGACCGATATGAGCGCAAAGTCGTGTCGTTCGAGGCGTTTTTTAGCCGAATTGCCGACGAAATTTACCAATTTTACCAAAATTCGCAGCTCGTCGCGCCGATCGAGCCGCTGCCGGTCGTCGTACCCGAAGACGAACCCTCCAAGTATAGCTCGTGGGGTCGTCCATCTGGAGCTAACAATTGTTGTGTGCGTTAGGACGACACTGCCGCCGGAAATTCTCGTTTGGTTTCTTCATGTCGATGTGGCCACCAAGAGATTTGCGTTAGGCCAAGCGCGCCATTATGAAGCGCGAGTTGTACGAGGAAAAGGTCCTCAACAACTACGTGTACGTCTACAACGAGCGCGTCGACTTGGTACACAATCTTTGTATCGAGCACTATCTAGACTAGTGTCTAGTACATTGGGGACCTCAAACGTGCGTACGACTTCATGCTTGAAGTCAAGCACGAATCGCTCATGTTTAAAAAGACGTGCGAGGTCCGAGGGCGACGATCTTCGATCGCGAAATCTTCTCTATGGAGTAGAACCAAGCCGTCGACATCGAGAAGCTCCAGGACACTGTCGAACGGCTCAAGATGTCGCTCGACACGGAGCGCACCAACACGGCCAAGCTCGAACGCATGTCGCGCATCACCACCAACGACCTCACGCAGCTCCAAGACAAGATGCGGTCCTACGAGCGCGAGGTCTTTCCTCTTGACGTTGACGCAGACTTGACTCTGTTCTAGTCGGGCGACATTGAGCTGGAGCGCAACCGGCTCTTGGAAGAAAAACGCAAAATTGCATTCATCATGATGGAGAAGTCCAAGACTTTGGACCGTGAAATCGACCTCAACGAGCAGGTGGACGGACGACGTTATCGACGCCTCAAGTAAATTAACTGCCTCTAGATGGCCAAGAAGCTGCAAGAGAAAGATGTCGACATTGGCAAGCTCCACGACACCGTGTCGATTCTCGCGGGCACCGTACGAAGACAACTTGTCCACGATGGTCCAACAACATGCTGTTAGGTCAAATCGTTTGAGGACGCGATTCAGTTTCGGAAGGACACGAACCGCGATATTGGCATCCTCGTGATGCCCACGCTCGACGCGACAGGCATGCAGACCGACCCGTGGAAACCACAGGTGGGTGCCAACTTGGAAAATGGTTTTTTGACTTGGCGCGGGGTAGGGTCTCATCCTTCGCCAGCGCAACAGCTCCAACCAAGTACCGCAGCGCTACGAAGGTCCGGCCAAGATCATGGTCGCGTGTCCGAGCCTGGACGTGCTTCTCGGTGAAAAGACGCTGGACCGTCCGTTGACATCGGCCTCGATGACGACACTGCCGCCAGCCGTCGACAACAACCAGAATTCGGGGCGGCGGGTGCAGACGGCGGACGCAGTGCTCGTCGGCGCGTCGCACCGCAAGCCACAGCGAAAGTTGCACGTCGGACGCATCAACCTCCCGCGTGTGAATCTCCCACCAACGCCGTCGAGCAACAGCCTCGACCCGCTGGTCGACAACTTTGTCAATTGAGCTAAACTGCTTCAAACGACAGAGGGTATCCACTATTGGGGTATCCAGATCCACTTGCGAGAGCCACCGCCAGGAGTGTCGGACAACCACAACCGCAAGCACAGCTAGCAACAAGGGATATAAATCAAATCCCTTGGCTAGCAAGCACGCAGCACTGGTTCGCTCTCCAGCCTGCCGCGGCTTGTGCTCCAGATGGCGTATTTAGATGTGGATGCAAGCCCATCCAGCCGGTCGTTATCAGTGAGGAATTGTGTGAGGACGAAAAGCTCACATGTAGCGACTTTGACGGCAACATGGTCCAAGATATCGATGGCGCGCTGTATGTAGAAAGAAGGAGCCGTGTACACTGTCTAAGCGATGGAGGCTGTGTCGAGGGGCAACGAAGGACGGGACTGTTATAAGGAGCTACTGGCTTCATGCAATATACAAGTCATTTAGAGAGTACAAAACAACCCACACCCAACAGACAGTAGTACACTCAAAGTGACATTCCTTTGGCTCAGCAAACCGCAAGTCCAGCTCCAGATGGAAGAGCGTGACGGCTAAGTGCGGCCGGAAAGGCTATCGCTCTGATAGCGTCACTTTGAAGTTTAGTTTGCTCGGCGTTATGGAGACGATGACTAGGACGTCGCTTCCGCTCGAGTGCCTGCGCTGCTACCGACGTTCGACGACCGACCTCATTGCGCCCTGCAGCTGCGCGTCGTACGTCCACCGCGACTGCTTGGCCGCGCGTCGCGTCCTCAACGCGTCCGCAGTGACGCACTGCAAGGCCTGTGGCGACGCGTACGATTTGTACGAATTGCCTGCTGAAGCGGCCGAGTACACGCGCCGCCTCCGCCTTGCGCAGCTGCTCCGCGTACTCGCTGTGCTCCTTGCCGTGACGTTCGGGTGCGTCATGATCTACTGTGTCGAGGAGAGCACGGCCAAAAAGTACCGGAACGCATGGACCGACGAGGATCGCGCGCTCAACGAGTGGCTCGCGTCGATATGCTGTCCGCGCTTCGTGGCCCATTTTGTCATCAGCCTTGTCTTTACGGCGATCGCGATGGGCCTCTTCCTGGGCTGCCTCCTGCTCTCGCCGACGATCGAGCGCTGCATCAACGCGTGCAACCGTCGGTGCGGTCGCCACGGTGTCACGATCTTTGCTCTGTGTTTGATTGTCCTTGTCATTGGCTCGATGCGCCTCGTCGGTCTCTACATGGTGCTCATGGCGCTGACCGGCGTGCTTGGCGCGGCAGCTAGCGTTGGTGCCACAAGCCGCATCTACAAGGTCCAAGTCCAGTACCGTCACGTCCAAGACCGGCGAGAGGTGGTCGACGGCGCCGACGTTAGTCTAGCGTAGAGCCAGGCGCCCAAGGACGTTCAAGGAACGGAAGACGTGGTTGACAAGTCGTCCACTTTGACTGCAAGACCTTTTCAAAGACACCTATCGACAGCCTGTACGCCCATGCCAGAGCGACGAGTACTACTGCAATCTACTAAAGTGATTGTTGTTTCTCTCATCATCCTCTCTGACTTGTATGGTGGGGGCTTCTCGCAGACAACTCGCAGCGAGCAAAATACTCCCTAGTTTACGCATTGGGCGGGAATGGCAATCGCACGCAGGGCGGTTTCGAGCTGATTGATGACGTGGCATAATATAAGAGCAGGAACGCTGAGCGAATCGATGAGGAGCGCGGTGCTGACGAGAGTCGTCTTTGTTGAGAGCACTTGCGTTTACACTGGAGTGAACGTACACTGCATGAGGACGTAGGCTTGGTTGTCTCGCACTTACACAGCTGTCGGCAGCAGAAAAGGGTCGGAAGTTGCAAGCTCGGCCTCCAGTTGGCTCGTGCTTCAAGCAGGGATGGTCCAAACTATCACAAAGATATTCGCAAACCAGTGGCGCGGATGGCTCTTCGCGAGTTTGAGCAACCAAACTAAGTGACAAACCCTCCGATTTGACAACCTAAATTTCATGAATTCGTCGTGTTGTCGACGTCCAAAAGTGAATATCTCGCGTGTGCAACGCGTCGCACACGTGCACATCGAAAATCACGCATAATGAAAACGAGTTTGTGCGTTTCACACGCGTGTTTTTTGGGTGGTAATTCGAGTTTCCCACGCGAGGATCGCAGAACGGTTCTTTGGAAAAGCCATTTTCGAACATCCCAACCATCGCCCGTGAGGATGGAGCTGCCAGCCAAGACCGCGGACGCCGTCGTCGTGACCGTCGCCGCGTCGGCGCCTGCGAGCGACGAGGCCATCCCGGTGCTGCCATCGAGCCCGTACTGCTGCTTCTACTGCCTCGACGACGGCAATGGACCGGAGCGGTCGGCGACCGAGCTCATTGCACCGTGCGCGTGCGCCACGTACATCCACCGTGACTGCCTGGACACGCTTCGCGTCTCGTCCCGGATGCCCAATGCCATGACGCATTGCGGTACCTGCGGTGAAGCGTTCGCCTTCCTCGAGTCGGGCGAAGAGGCCGAGTACAAGCGCTTGATGCGCAAGGCGCAGCTGCTTCGCTTTCTCTTCGTGCTTGGCGTCGTCTTTCTCGGTAGCTGCATCATCTGGCTCATCGACCGCGGTACGCCCAAGTCGTTCCACTTGAACTGGAACGGTATGGACGGCCAGATCTACGACACGGTCGGGCTCAAGAGCTGCCCGCGACTCCTCGTGTACTTCCTCACCAGCCTTGCCCTCACGGCCTTCATTATTGGGGCCGTTGCCATCATCAGCCTCTGTGTGCTTGGCTGCCGCGACCCGGCCACGAACTGCTACTGCCCGGGGTACTACGATTGCGACTGCGGTGGTGGCGACTGCGGTGGTGACGCCGGGGCCTTCATCCTCGTCTTTGTCCTCGTTCTCTTTATCTTTGTCGGTCTCTACATGATGCTCATGGCGATCGTCGGCGCATTTGGCAGCACCGTGAACCGCATCGGCCAGCGCCGCGTCCGCGCTGTCGAAGTGCGCTACCGCCAGGTGGTGAACCTGCGGCCAATTCCAGCGACGAGCCACGTCGCTACAATGGTCTAGTCGGCTCGCTAGTCATTGTCATCTTCACCGCGCCAACCAATACCATATTGCCTTTTTGCTACGTCGCATCGACTTCTCAGCCTGAACCAGTGAGTTTCTGACAGACGCGCGTCACAGCTATCGAATCTCGCGTCATCGCACATAAGTACAAACTGTAGTTGGACGAGGCTTAAATAGAGGCTCGTCAGATGCGCGCTGGTGTCTTGACCTCAGTCGGCGCCTTCTGGATCGAAGCTTGCCGGTCGCGCCACCCCACATACGCGAGAGTGGTTACACTCCCGGCGCCCAGGGTGACTGTGCTATGCCACAACAGCGTCGCCGGAAGCAGCGACACCAAGATATAGCCAATGAGCGCGGCCACGAGACTGAGACTGCACGCCACGTACAAGAACGCGGCGCGGAAGCCCTTGACGGGCGTCCCAAACACTGCAGTCGCGAGCCGAGCACCGACACACGCGTCCATTTGAGCAGCAACGAGCGCGACACCAGCGATCGTCGTAAAGGCTACTGCGCTGATCGAGACGCATGTGATCGACTGAAGAGAGGCGATGGCCGGGCGAAGGATGACGCGCTCAAAGCGCGTGGTATGGAATGGAGTCCTGCATGTGGGGCAGTGCGTCGTGGCGTCATGGCGGGACGATGTGAGCTGCCACTGGGCAAGACACGCGCGGTGAACATGCGTTGTACATGCGCACGGCGACGCCATGAGGTCGGCGGACTCCCAGCACATGTAGCACGTCGGCTCGTCGGGCATAAGGTCAAGCGCGAATTGATTTTTGAGCTATCGCGATTCCAGTTCCTGTTACAATCGGTGACGTTGACGACCGTACACAAAGCCACGTTGCGAATTTTGTGCATGTCACGACGCCTGTACACTGGTCGAGTTGGCCATGTTCACGTTGGGCACCTCATTTAATACCGGGTAAAAGGATGTATTTAATAGATGTATTCAATATGACAGTGTTAAGTGTATCGTTTACTGTATCCAAAGAAATATTTCGCTACGTTTTGATAGAGGATATGGAATGCCAGAGGTTGATGGCGCTCATATTTTTTGATGCAGTTGTCAAGCCTACAATGCAGGCTTGACAACTGCATCAAGAATGTGAGGAGCGCCGACCGGTCGCACGAGTATTCGTGCAAAGGTCTACCTATTCGCCTTCGAGTGTCCACATTGAGGTGACGTGAACCACAGAATGGGAGCAAGGACGCTGCGAGTTTCTTCTCTTTGCATGGTGAAGACCGTTGCTCGCTACAGGGGCATGCAGGCCTGTTTGCGCGGCTGCTCACACGAGACAGGAGGTGGCTCTGGGGCCGCGGAGGTAGAGTCGACGATGGCCCTTGCGCCTTCGCATTGGCTGTGTCGACAGCTCTCGATGTAATACCACATAGGTTTGCACACAGCGGGATGCGTCCGAAGCGATGGCATTGAACCCGATACTCTAGACCAACCAGCTCCCAATCGACGCTTTGACGCAGCTTGTCACACTGTTCATGGTTGACGCATCTTTCGTGGTTGCATGCAGTTACCTAGCTGCACGCAGAGCTGCACGCAGTATGTAGAGTCCGCCGATGGTGGTAGGATGAGGAAATTTGCATTTGGAGAGATAATTTGCGCTAAATAGTAGTCTGGTGCATTTAGTTGTATCGAAGCGGTCGCAGGTTGCGAATGCGTTGGTCGCAGTGGGCGAGCACGCGCGCTTTGAGTGGTGCGAGGATGTCGACTTGGCCCGAGCCCACGAGGTAGATGAGAAAGCACCCGACGCCACCCACGACCAGAACGAGCAAAATGACGTGCTGCAAAAGTGCGTCGAGGAGCGACTGGTCCGGATGACGCTCCCAGATCAAGTGCGATTGAGCTGCGCGGACCAAGATCGCACCGCAGAGAACGAGCAGCAAGCCCGCACTGGCGCCAACGTACACGAGCGTCGCTTTGGCGCCACTGGCGTCTGCGGCAAGGGGATGCCCGGCGTACACGTCGAGCTGCCACAGAAGCAGCGCCTGAAGGCCCAAGACGAGCAGGACAGCCACTGCAATGTAAAGGCGGCCATGGCCGAGGACCCATAGAAGTAGCGCTGGCGGGCCGTCGAGCACATAGCGCATGCGGCATGTGGGGCAGTGCGTCGGGGCGTCGGCAGTCGACGACGTGGCGCGCCATCGCTCGAGGCAGTCGCGGTGGACGTAGCTTGTGCACGCGCACGGGGCGATGAGCTCGGACGGCGACGTCGAGCTCCAGCACATGTAGCACACGGCGTCCTTCGTCATGGTTTGTCGTTGGAGGGGACTGGCAAATCGGGAATGGCACTGTTCGTGGCGGCTCACAAACCCGCCTGTCTCGCAACTGCCAATCACGTGCCTGATTGCATTGATTTTGTCCAATCATATGCCGCGCATCCATTCATTTCAACCAATCGCAAGACCGACCAACACACGTAGCGATCTTGCACAAGAATCTTGAAGGTATGTGCATGTGCTCTTGGACCGAGTCCTTGGCTATTTCTTGGAGCTCGTTCTCAGTTGTCTGCTCCTGTACGAAGACGAGGCCGATTGAAAAACGTAGTGATGACTAGCATCGTAACCATAGCACGTAGTTTAAACCGCCAATAGCGTCATTCCTCGAGGGTCACATTTTACCTTACAGTACCTCGTCGCGGGGCAGCAGCTCGCGGGAGCAAGATACTAAGAGGACGGTCCATAGTGCGTAGAGTGAATGGCATGACGTCATCGTGGCGGCTGAAAAATGCACGTCGTCCTCCGCTGTCGATCGCGGCCTTGTCTTCGCGCGGACGTGTCATAGCTCTCCGATTGGTGGAAATGTTCTCTATTATCACCAATCCAATTCGTCTATGGGGCAGGGCGCGATGCGAGTGGTGGAAAAGGTGGCCTAGTATGGCGCCGCCGTCGACGTCTCGAGCTCGATCTGGAAGACGCGCTGCATGGCCGCGAGGACGGCGTCTTCGACGTCGACCATGCGAACAGTCGGATGGAACTCTTGGATGCTAGAGACCGCCTTGTCCTCGAGGCCACAGGGCACGATGCGCTCAAAGCCGGCGAGGTCCGTCGTCACGTTGAGCGCGAAGCCATGCATCGTGATCCACTTGCTCGCATGCGTACCGACGGCCGCGATCTTGCTCTTCGGAAAGGCGTGGCGCGCGTCGGGCACCCACACGCCCGTGAGGCCATCGACGCGCTCGCCCGCTATGTCAAAGGCGCCCAGCGTCTCAATGACCACCTCTTCGACCTGCCGGAGGTACCAGTGCAAATCCTTCTTGAACGGGTCGCGCGTCAGGTTGAAGATCGGATAGACCACGAGCTGGCCCGGCGCGTGGTGCGTGACCTCGCCTCCGCGGTCGACCTTGATGAGCTCAAACGCTGTCTCCTTGGCCGGGTCAAACTTGACGTTGGCGAGCGACGCGCCGCGCCCGAGCGTATACACGGGCGGGTGCTGAAGCATGAGACAGACGTCCATCGGCGCCTCGGCTGCGCGGAAGCGCTCCTTGAGCAGCTGCTGCTGCCATGCCCAGGCTTGGCGGTACCCGACCACGCCGAGCCGGTGCACAAGACAGCGCGGTGCCATCGCTAGAAATGAAAACCAGGCTGGGGTCCTGAAACGAGGGCTCCAATAAGGACCAGTTCCTGCAAGTACGATCATCACTCTGAGTAATGTCTAATCGCACCGTACTCTGCTATAAAATACTATGCAACGATTCTTGTATTTTCGGTAAAAGTTGAGTGTGTTCAGAACGCCTAGCGATACTGTGTTATTAATATTTCATAATGAACATTAGTGTACATTGGACTACGAATTAAATTGAAATTCGGACATCCCCGATTCCAGCGCCCGATTGTGCAGTCCGAGATACGGGATCATTGACGCGAGGGCCGGCGCACGACGATGGACCCGACGAGTACGCTACCTCGTGGCATCGGCCGGCGATGACGATGGCTCATGCGACTTGGCGTAGAGAGCACGTCGTCGCGCCGCCGGAAGAGCAACCGCAACAGCCTCTTCGACAGCTCGGACGAGGACGCCGAGCGTGGCCTCACGCGCAACGACAAGGGCCGCGACAGCAAAGGTGGCAGCGACAGCCGCAAAGGTCTCTTCGACGACCACGACGACGAGAACGACCACGATGGGTTGCCCCTGGAGCAGCTGCAGCAGTCGATCAAGGAGCGACAGCTCCGCAAGAAGGCGCATCTCGAGACGTTGCAGGCGCAGGTGCTGGAAGCGACGACGCTCGCCAACGCCTTCAAGGCCGATGTCGCGCAGCTCAGCTTGCAGCTCGGCAGTGCCAACGCCAAGATCGAGAAACGGAATCGACAGCTCCAGAACGCCAAAGACCTCGTCCAGTCGCTCCAGGCTCAGGTCGCAACGCTGACGGCGCAGGTGCTCGAAGAAAACGCCCTTCGCGGGCGCGACGAGCAGACGTGGCTTCTCGAGCGGGCGTCGCTCTTGCGTCAGATCGAGGAATGGAAATCAAAAGCCCACTTTACGCCTCTACCCATCTCGCCAACGACCAAGTCGGCGTCCGCATCCTCACTGCTCGGCAAACTCTGGTCCAAGGCCAAGCCCAAGGAAGAGGTTGTCGCCCCGACGCCTGTCACGACCACGCGACCACAGATGTTCACGGTGCACGTCCAGTCGGAAGACGACGACGACGAATCCAGCGACAGCCTCCTTGGCAGCAGTGACGACGATGACGACGAAGTCGATGACGCGAGTGACAGTGACAAAGGACCCGTGCCCATGCCTCCGCCCTTGCCACGAGAGGCTCGCCCGTCACCGCCTGTGGTCGAGATGCACTCGACCGATGACGCGGAAGACGACGCTCTGGACAATGACGAGGACGACGAGGATGATCGGGAAGACACAGCGACGACCGGTGATCGACGTAGCCACACCGAGTCCAAGCCACCGAGCGCCCACGAGCCCAAGGTGCCGCCGACCGTGTCGCGCATGAACATGTACATGGAGAAGCGCGCCAAGAAGGAAGCGCAGAAGCGGGAGAAGGAAGCGCTCGAGGCCCAGGTCCAAACAGCATCATCGACGGTCGCTGTTGACGCGGACGACATAGGAGAAGAACCGATGGCAAGAGGTGTACGAGCAAGAATGGGCCCAGCTCGCGCAGGAAGCCAAGGAAAGCAAGAAGAAGCGCAAGCAGAAGAAGCCGTCGGTGACGGGCGCCCAGTTTACGCGCGTATGCCAACGATGTCCCATCATCATCGATCGCCCTTTGATGCCATGGTATAGATCTCGCGCCAACGACCCTCCAGCATGAAGCATTTGCAAAAACCTGCAGGCGCCGTCCCGACGCCGACCGTGGTGCCAGCGAGCCCACCGGCACCGAGTGCTGGCGTCGTGCCACCACCCCCACCTGTGCCGGTGCGTGAGCCTGTCGACCCAACACCGCCGGTACATTTGTCGATGTCGCTTGACCCAAGGCGTCATCGTGTACTAGGTGGTCGTGTCGCCTCCGTTGCCGCCCGAACCGTCCGACGCCGACGTCGAGCTCTATCGTCGACAGCAAGCACGCCTCCAGGAACTCCACGAAGCCGGTAGGAAACGTCGGGTGTCGCTTGGGAACTCACTCAATATGGACGCAGAGCGATTGAAGCGAGAGCAAGCCGAGGAGACGGACCGCATCAAGCGCGATATCCACGCGACGATCAATGCGTGGGCACGGGGCAAGTCCCTCACTGTGCTCCTCTCGACGCTCAACCAGCTCAATGTGCTCAACGGTCTCGGTCTGGACGCACTGGGTGCAATTACGGCGCCCGAGATTGACGGCGGCGATAGCGCCAAGAAGGCGTACCGCTTCGTCATCCGAGTCATTCACCCCGACAAGCTGCGCAACAACGGCAGCATCGCGCAGCAAGTCGCGGCGAGAGACGTGTTTACCGTCGTCAACCAAGCGTTTGACGCCTTCAAGGAGAAGCTCTAGTTAAGCGTAGTGGACAATTGTTAGATCTGCACCATCGTTGGCTACCGGGCCTTTGGGGCCTTTTCTATCCTATGTATCTGGTGCTGACCAGTCACAGCATGTACTAGTACTAGTACTGTGATACCTCGCTCCTGTCGTGCCACGTACTCGCTGGCCGATCATCCGGACGACCGCGTTATCCGGATGATGCTGGAGCCAGCCGTGGAATTCCTCTTCGACCATGCTTCGGACGCTGCGGCTGGTGCGCCGACCCGCGACGGCGAGCTTCGCCTCGAGCGCCATGTCGTACAAGATGTCGCTGGCAACGCAAGAGCAGTACGCCAACGTAGCCCATGCGCTGCACGAACTCACAGCCGCAACCTCCGACTACACCTGCCCCCCGCGCGGCGTCTTCCTCGTGCCCAACGAAGCGCCGTGGCCGGCCGAAGCCCGCGGTCGCGAGCTCTACTTTAGCCACTTCCGCATGGCGTACCGGCGCAACCATTTGGCGCTTGACATTGTTGCGACCATGGACGACATTCGCTTCGTCTGGAACCCGTGGGCGCATCGGTGGCTGCTGACGCTGGCGGCGCTTGACACCTTCAAGGCGCTGCATGGTCATCTTCTTGTGCCGAGCCTGTATGTGATTCCGCACAGCGCGCCGTATCCGCGAGACGTATGGGGCCTGCAGCTCGGGTACGCCGTCGACAATCTTCGACGACGGTCCATGTCGGCCGACCGGCGCGACGATCTTGATGCGATGGGCTTTGTGTGGGACCACCCCGAGCACGCGTGGCGCCTCAAGGTCGACGCCGTCGTCCACTATTACGCCCTGCATGGTCACACGGCCATCGACAAGGACTATGTCGTGCCGCAAGATGATGCGTGGCCGACCGCCATGCACGGTCTCAAGCTCGGACAGCATGTCGGCTACATGCGCTCGCGCAAGCACGAAGCCAGCGACAAGGACAAGGCCACATTGGCGCACACGGACTTTGAGTGGGACCCGCGAGCATCGGCATGGCGCCTCAAGCTCGCCGCCCTGACGACGTACGTCCGCCTGTATGGCCATTCGCGCATTGCCCACCGCTTTGTGGTGCCGGTGGGCGACACCGAGTGGCCGCAAGAGACGTGGGGGCTGGCGCTCGGCGTGGCCATGCCGTACGTACGCCGACAGACGCAGCCGGACCGCATTGCCGCACTGGACGCGCTCAATGTCAAGCGCACTGACGTCCCACCTGCGTAAGGACTTTAGTAACGAATACTAGATCTGGATATTCGACTGGATCGAGGTTACGAAGCGCAACCTCGTGCGCGCACTGACTGCTACTGCTAGTAGTACATCTGAAATGGGTGAAGTCGAAGTACATATCCACCACAGTGGAAAGTGGACTCTCACAACCCAAGAGAGTGGGACGGGGCCATCAGTTGCAGAATTGGACATAGCACGACTGAAGCATCGAAAGGCTGATGATGATTTGTCGGGTCCATCGGACGCGGTGGCGTCTACCGCTTGGGCCATTGACCGCTGGTGTCGGTGCCGGCACCCACAAGATTGCATACTGCGACGGACGGGTCGTCTCGTCGCACGTCGGTACTAGAGAGGACTAGGAATGCGTAATGGATGACTTGTCCTCTTTTTGTCTCGACGATCATTTGTGTCCAAGGTCGACCAACTGTGAATCCAGCTACAACCCATGAGAGAGCGTCCTGCTATGTCAGTCGGGCATGAGGCCAATCTCGAATTGCCATGGCGACGTGCATCTTCAATGGATGTAATAATGCAACGTCGACAACGAAATGCGACTTTCACAAGCACCGGCGGCAGTGCCAAGTGCCCCACTGCTTCAATCAGGTCTACGCGCGCCACCTCTGCGTGCGCCACGGCGGCAAGCGCACCTGTGCCGCCGACGGCTGCCACCGCAACGCCCGCATCGCGCAGCACTGCGCGCAGCACGCGCAAGCGCCCGTCCGCACCGAAATGTGCACGCACGTTGGCTGCGACCGCGTCGCGCATTTGCGCCACAAGTGTGTGCGCCATGGCGGCGGTCGACAGTGCCGCATCACAGGCTGCGCAACGCACGCGCGGCGCGGCGGCTACTGCTGGCGCCACCGCACCATGGCCTCATCGACCGACGCGCCGCACGAGGGCAACAACGACGACGAATCGCGATCCGCATGGGATGCGCTGCCGCTAGAGCAAAATGCGATGCCGAGTCCGCGAATATCCAGCGCCGACCTCCGTGGCTTCCTCGACACGATCGACCTCGCCGACCTCGCCGACCTCGTGTCTTAAGGAACCACATCCGCGACCACCGCTTTGTGTGGCGTCCGTCTATATTCGACTAGCAGTGTGTCAATATATTTGTATTCTGAAACGGCCATACGTGGCAGCCTCTCTGCGTTCCTCGTGGTTCAGGCACCAGTGCGTTACACAAGTGAAGCTTGATGCGTGTCTGTCAACGACCGTACTCTCGAGGAGATCCCGCCATGTTATACCTCGGATGATGACGTCGACTGCGTGAAAAGCTCCAGAACGCATCCGGATACGGAGCCTTTGGGTGTCTTATTGCTCCTGTTTCGCGACCCGAACAACGGAGTGTGTTGTCCACGATCCTGCATGCGATGGTCTCGAGGTCTTCATTCGGTGATTTGACTCACTGCGTCGAGAGCATGGTGGCGCCCGGTGTTGCCACGTGCCAAGTGTGCTTTGACGAGACCTACGCCGTCATCACGCAGATATGCGGCGCCTCCTGTTCCGCGGTCCTCTGCGCATCGTGCATCAACGCCTACGTCGGTTTCCAGGCTGCATCGGCGCTCTACGGCGTGGTCGCTCAGCTCAAGTGTCCGATCTGCCTGCGGCCTGCCAGCTTGGTTCGATGGCGCGAGAAGCTAAGCAAGCCGAACGCGCACCTGCAGCTGTTGGAAACAAAGGTGCACTCGGCGTGCAACGTCGTCTGCCCAAGTTGCCACACCAACACGTCGGTGCTGCCAGAGGCGTGCGACTCGGTCCAGCCACTTTCATTGCCGACGCACCTCGCACAGCAAATGCCAGAGCTTCGGGCGCGCTGTGGCCAGTACTGTCACCACCGCCTCTCGGCCGACGCGGTTTACAACTACGTCCGCGCAACGTTTCTGGGGCACGACGACGTCATTCTAAGTGCGCTTCTATCACAGATCTACGACGTCGAACGCCGTGCGACGC